AWWTTGGTCTCGCAGGGCAATGGACTTTTGGACGAACAGCTTGCCAGTCATCTTGTCTTGAACAATGTTGACGGCCTCGGACATTCCGCCCTTGACCAATGCCTTCTTGACAATGTACTTGCGCATGATGTCTCGGCCAACGTGCTGGCCCGAACGTCCACTACCGCGCACACCACCAGTTGGGTCCGGTCTGTTTTCAGGACCCTTGCCAAACACCGTGAATGGAAAGCGGCTTTGCTGCGGCGGCGGCGCATTGGCTTGGTATTGTCGGACCCGGTCTGGACGTCTGAATTTCTTGCTCGCGCTGTCTGATTTCTGCTTCGCGCAGGCTGGACCGCCGATGATGAGGATGGTGCGCGCGGCCCTCGTATATCTGGCCTCGTACTGCATGTCGGCGCTGAGGACTGACGGTACGAACGTTGTATCCTTGGTGTGGTACTGCATGTCCAAACACTCCAGGTCCAAGTCCATATCCGCCTAGGCCGTATGCGAAACTTTCCGGGTCGAATGGACCTCTCATCATGTCTGCTCGGTGTGGCATCATTCTTGCATGTCTGTCCGTTCGTCGAATGTGAGGGCCGTGAACGCTCCGTCCTGGGCCGAACAGGAAATTCATTGCTCAGATGTTAAGAGTTAGTTGTGGAAGACTTGTTGCGATGTTTATGCAACAGTTTTGTGAGATGGGCGTTGTCGATGTGGTTGTGCAACGATGTGGATGATGCAAATGACTTTGGAAACCCTCGAAGGCTTGAGGGCCGTACATAAATAGTATGGATCGTGTTGGCGAACGCGCAACAAGGGCTTTGTGGATGGGATTGGGTGTATGACAAAAGCATTGTGAAACTTTTGAGGATGTTGAAGAAGTCGAATGTCAACGGGGCTGACGGAGAGAGGCTAGCTCAAACGACAGCGAGTGAATATGCGAACCAGGCATGCGGCAGTCGGTATTCACTCTTCATCGGCCGCTATGTGCAGTATGTTATACAGTCGGGAAGTAACTCAATCATTTGCATGTGGTATGCTTATAGTATGCGATCCTGTGAAGGAGGGGGTTCAGGGAGGAGATCTTTTGACGATACATGGAGTTGCGCGGCATCGTTAGACGTAAACAATTGCAAGAGACTGGAATACCAGAAGCTGACAGAAATATTATTCGGTCATGGCTTTGATTGTGAGGAGTAGAGCTCCCCCAGACCAATATCAGAAGGGGAAATTTAGGGGAGAAGCCCCCAAAGCCAAGACAGAGACCTGCCAATTCTCGCAGACCATGTAAGTCGATCGCGCAAGACAGAACACCATCGAACTCCACCACTCCACTAGTACCGTATCCGCTCCGTAAGTCTCGCTCTCCTGAATCCCTGTTGGGCCAGATCCGCCATATCTTCCGCATTCCACCGTAGCCAAATTTCCCTCTTAGTAAGACGCGCCACAAAAGAATTCAACTCCCGACTGTATCCCCCACCACAAGGCCTCTCACTCTCCAAAACTTCCCGATCCATGATAGGCTCCATCAAACACATAGTCTGAATCACAGCTCCCAATTGCCAAGAGTCAGTTTTAGATCCATACCCCCTCGCCTCGATCTGTTCAGGGGCTTGCCACCCAAGTGCCTGCGCAGGCGCCTCAGAAACTTTTAACTCTCCCACTAACAATATCCGATTTGGAAACCTCAGCGCCGAAATCCCCCAAGTACAACTCGAGGATACTGCAGCCCGATATCCTGGAAGAAGAAGACATTGTCTGTTTTTAACATCTAAATGATAAATCGCATCCCAGAGCAAAAAATCCCTTTCGTTGACCAAAGCGATCGATGGGTCCCCGGTTGTAGAAAGTCCAGGGCGTTGATACAGCTCACTAGAACATGCCAAATGAGACTCTCGACGTATCGCATTCCCCCCCGTTGAGAAGAGAATCTCAGAGTCGTCTCTTCGATCGTGCCTCCGTCACAGTAACTCCAATATGATATGTGTGGCTTCGCGATTAGAGGCGTATTGGTAACATTGTGTTCAAATTACTGCAATTTCCATCCATATCGATGGATTAATTTTTCGAAGAGTTCTGATCGAGGCTGATTACGCGCTCCGGCTTTTCATTGGAAATTTGCTTCGAAATGGTATCGTTTTCCCTGTCACGATTTCTTCCACGATGGTGATTGAGATGGACATTCCTCCGGGGTCCAGGGCGATGATTCGTTGGTAGTTGGCCATTATGTGTCGGATCATCGAGTCGTTGGAATCGTCTGGGTTGGAATAAATTGCGGTTCGTTGCGCGCTGTGAGATGAAGGCGGCATGATGGGACATTGCCATGTTTTGCATGTTGAGGATGTTTTGATTGTGTTTGGCGACTGTGAGACTTATATTAGTAAGTGAGAGTGAATGTAGGGTGTCTTTTTTTGTTGGGTGACTGTAGTGAAGTAAGCGGAAGTAACCTCCTGTCAATATTCACTGTAGGTCTCACCGACAATGGAGCAAATTACGCGCAGAATCCAACGAGAAACTGCCACTTATCTAGGGACTATAACAAAGATGCAAAAGGCTGTGCCAGGACGCTTGGGATAGAGAAGAACATGGGGCTGGTCATAAAATCAGGCAAATCTAGATTTCGCAGATCTTGGAGACGGTTCAGATCTCATATCCCCTCAATCTACATCCGGTATGTACTACTCTCATACCCGACACTGTAGTATGATAACATCACTTTGGTTATGATTCGTAACATATAATCGTTCCTACTTCTCGTCGTTTAATTGTCGATAGCTCTGGCTAGGGTCGAGAGCATTGCTAATCTCGTGGAATCTTAAGCAAACAAAGCGCCAGGACTCGAAATAACTCACGATAAGCTTCCATAACTTAGCACTCGATCATATAGCCCAGGCTATTATCACATGCATTACAGAAAATATCTGTTTGGGAAGGACTCCACTTCGAATTCACTCAAGTGGGGCAACTTTATCTATGCCAAGACCGATCCCCGGATTTATCTGTATCTTGATAGGTAGCTTCAGCAAAACAAAGCTTGAACTTCATCTCGTCATCGAGCATTGCGAGACCATCATCCAGCACCAGTTCTCAAAAAAATGTCGAACCTTCCGCTGCGCATCCTTAGCGGAATAACCGCACGGCCGACCATCCGCATTGCCTCCTCGCACTCCCCTCGAAAGGTACAACTGGCGCGCACATTTTTTCCTCAGCCACCCACATACCAAAACACTCCAAAGCTCACCTGGAATGCGAGAGGAAATTCAACGTAACAGACCTTCTGCGCGCTCACCTGAAAGCAGGCAAAGCCATCAACGGCCTACATTTCACCAAATCTACTACCGAGCTCTTCCAGGATATATACTGGGATTACAACGGAATCATGCTTGATCATGGGATCTGGGCTCGTAGACGCTTTCAATACGTCGCTTGTAAGTTACCGTGCCGCGATAATACAATCACATCGCGCGCGTATGGCAAGCAAAACTGAGAGTTGGTGAGACGAGCGACTATATCAACTCCAAGTTCGAAGAGGTTGAAAAGGGACTGAGGTGGTTTGCGCTGCTATTGAGAAGCGGATCCCATCCTTGGGGAAGTGCGGTACGGATACTCTTTTTCATTCATGGGGAAATTACAGCATGATGTCTTTACGGAGCGTGAGACTTGGGACCCAAACCACCTCGAGTGCCAACAGTACCGGATTGCAGATTGTACTCGACAAAATCAGATCCGGTCCCCGCACTGAATTTGAGCGTGCGCATCCAATGAGCGCTCGAGCATGTGGTTGGGGAAGTCGAGGTTACCAGGGAGATTGAGCTTGTTAATGGCGCTGGGATGCATGAGGGGAAGAAATATGAGGAGGAGCTGATCCGTATGGATAGGGTCATTGAGACTTTTATGGCGGATCGGGAACTCTTCTTTCCCATACGGCCTGCTCCGGTTGGTAAGCTTAGCGCATATTTTGCGTGGAAGAAAGGTTGCGAGAAGGAACGAGACCGACGAGATGAGATGAACAGAAAGGCAATGGCGAAGTGAAACCGCGTGGGATCACAACCCGACAAGCTTTACGAGGAAATGGACCGACAAACTGGCGCAGAATAGAAGAAGGTGGCTTGCAACTACACCAGCTCTGAGAGATAAGTCACCTGCTCTCTTCTGTTTTCCTTTTTGCAACAACTACTACTTGACTGCTGTTTAACAATCTTCTACTTCTTCTTCTTCTTCTTCTTCTTCTTCATCTTCTTCAGGAAAGCATTGGTTCCCAACATTTGAAAGCACTCTAATCTGGGTATATATGTGCCTCGTTCCATCCCATTCTTCTATACCTACGTTTATACATGAAACTTTCTTCCGTGGTCGAGGCACACACACATGATCCTCATTCCCCACCACCCCACGCTAAATGCACACATTGTCTCCAAACCAGAGCGGCGAATCTTGCCGTTGCACACACATACATACACATGATGCATAGTTTACTCCTTCTTCCCCCCACCGCCAAACCAGGCCAAGGCGCCCCCCTTCATCTCCCTCGCCTGGGCCTCGGTGGCCTTGCGGATCTCCTCCTTCTCTTCCGCCAACCACTCCTCTCCGTGCTCCCGGATCTGCTTCTCCAACGCCTCGTACTGTCTCTGCCCTTGCTCTCGAATCTGATCGCTCAACATCTTCCCTTGCGCCAAGCCCTCGGCGACGGACTGTCCATCTCCCAGAACCATTCCCCCCGCAGCGCCGGTATTCTTCACGCCGAGACTGCCGGCAATGCTTCCGAGGGAGAACTTGGGCCGACGTTTCCGCTCTTCTGCGAGTTGGGCCTGGAACTTCTCGCGGGCCAGTGCTTCTCTCCGCGCGAACTCCTCGGGGATGTTGGTTCCCTCAAAGGACTTCATGACGGTGCGGACGTCTTCGATGCCCATGGTGGCGACGTATTCCAAAAAGGGGATGAGRGCGACGAGATCCTTGACGTGGGGGTCTGATTTGTCGCCGTTCCATTTAGGGAGGACAATGGCGTTTTCGGGCTGGTTCTTGACGTGTGGAGCGTGGGTGTCGATGATCAACGTCTTGCTCAGCGGTCGGTTCAGGTAGGAGAGATCCTTGACGTACTCACCCTTTTCATACTTGGTCGCCTCTCTCCCCAGCGGCCACATGATGAAGTGGTAGGGGTCGAGTTTGGCCATGATGGGGTCGGCCATGGAGCGGGGAGCGGAGGTGAAGAGGACGAGTTCGTAGTATTGGGAGAGGTAGCGGATGAAGTAGTCGATACCCGGACGTTTCGCCGTGCGGTAGCCGTGTTTGGTGTCCCAGGTGGTGTGGATCATGAGGTCTTCCAGGGAGAGGACCAGGGTGTATGGAGGACGTTGGGATTCGGGAACGTCGGGCAGGAGTTTGGGGAAGGAAGGTTCGGTGTAGTAGTTGWCCTGATTGCCCATTCTCGCGCGGATTCGGGCGAGGAGCTTGTTGGGAGACCAGCCTTGGGCATCTTCAGCCTCCAAGCCGGAAGGAATGTCGTCGCGGACGCTGAAGGGACGGGAGAGGTAGAGGCCGGCACCGATGGCGGCGAGGAGGATGGAGGCGTAGAGGTAGTTGGACATTTGTGCGCGGCGTCGGTCGACGGAAGTCTCGTATTGCTTGTTATCATACTCGCGCTCCTCCCGCTCGCCCTTGCGGCCGCCTCCTTCGGAGGTGAGATCGAGCTTGTCTTCTTGTGATTCCTGCTCTTTGGGCTGCTGCTTGCCACCGTATTCAAAGTCAAAGGTTGAGGGGATACCCTGGCGAAGGTCGGGGAGAGGAGGATGGGAGGACTGCGCGCTTTCCGGCGTGTTTTCACTCGCCGCCATCTTGTCCTTGGCGACATCTCTCACGCTGCCGGGAACGGGCTCATCGGCGTCCCACTTTTGCGCCAGAGGCTCTTGCGCCGATGTCGTGGGGGAATCATGCACCGTCTCCTCCGGTCTGACGCCTTCGACAGGCGATGCAGCTCCTCCTTTGGCCGCATTGTTTGCAGCAGCAGCAAGCTTGATGCCGTCGGCCGGCTTCCATGTCTGATCCTTGGGGATGGATGTGCCCGGAGATGTCTGTCGTGTGGCGCCCGAGACGGGGCTTTGATGGGCTTTCGGGGGAGGGGGAGGAGGTGGAGGTGGAGGCCTTTTGCTGGCGGGCGTCACAGGAGATGCAGTCTTTTTGGTGGATGTTGATGTGGATGAAGATGGCCCTTTCTTTGCGCTGGCATGGCGGAGGGAGGAACATGTGAGGTTTGCGCGAATGGCCGGTCGCAGCGTCGCCCGGAGCGCTGCTCGGGGAAGCATGTCGGATGTGGGGGAGGGGAGGGGAGGAAGGGGAAGGAATGTGATGCGACGGAAAAGTGTGATTGATCTTTCAATTGGGATGGCTTTCCTGATGATGCAGAGCGAGGACGCGATGGAAGCTTTCGGGATGGGCCGTCTCTTAACAAATGCTCCAAGAACGTGCATGTGCTGGATATCTGATATTCTTGAGATTTGTAGCAATTATTACTGGAGGGAAATATTGGGGGAAACGGCCTCTTTCCCCCCTCACATGTATAACCCTTATATATTCTTCAAATGGGCATGATTTCCTTGATTTCCATTGATGTCTGCCCTCACAATTCCTTGAATGCTCGGGAGGAATTGACACTCTCCACGGCTCACCCTCCGCCCGACACTCCCGCGGACTTTGGCCTCGACCACCTAGAACAGACCAACCACCAACATCTTCCACCAGCATCCTTTAATTTCCTTCATTCCTGGGGTCGGGCATGTTTGTGCCGTGTTTCAGTTGAAGCGTCCAATGTTGTTGTTGTTGGCCGGTCGAGTGTAGAATCCTCGCCCTCTGTCGATGCACCTGCGCGCGGTGCGGGCCCGCAATCCATCATGGCCCATGTTCACCCCTCCAAGTCGTCTGATCTGGTGGATATGCCTTCTTCTTTCCTGCTGGGTGACGAGCGTGGTCTGCATGACGGATGAGGAAACCCGGGGATTGAGGTAAGTAAGCTGATCATCCTCCATTCATCCATCCCTATCAACCCCATCTTGACACCTCTCCTCCCCCTCTAGACAAGACACCCTCTCCCTCTTCTACCATGGCTACGACAACTACATGCTCCACGCCTTCCCCGAAGATGAGCTCCGACCCTTGTCCTGCCAACCCCAAACTCGCAATCGCGACAATCCCGCCGACATTGGACTGAACGATGTGCTGGGCAACTACTCGCTGACCTTGATCGATTCCCTGTCCACCCTGGCCATCCTCGCCTCCGGAAACGACAAGGAGGAATCCGGGAGGCAACCGTTAAAGGACTTTCAAAATGCCGTCAAGAGTTTGGTGGAATTGTACGGAGACGGCACCAATTCATCGGCGGGATGCGGGAAGAGGGCGTGTGCTTTCGATTTGGACAGCAAGGTGCAGGTCTTTGAGACCAACATTCGGGGCGTCGGAGGCCTTCTCTCCGCACATCTGTTCGCTGTCGGCGACCTGCCCATTCGCGGCTATAACCCTAGATTCAACAACAACAACAAGGGAGGCATCAAGTGGCCCAATGGCTTCACCTACACCTCCCAACTGCTGAATCTGGCCCACGACCTCGCCACTCGTCTTCTCCCAGCCTTCAGCACGCAGACGGGCATTCCCTACCCCCGCGTCAATCTCCGCACCGGTATCCCCTTCTACCTCACCACCGAAGGCTTCTGCTTTGCCCACGGCGGCAGCACCACCGCCTCGCAAGGCCAACGAGAAATCACCGAAAACTGTGCGGCGGGAGCCGGCAGTCTCATCCTGGAATTCTCCACCCTCTCCCGTCTGACGGGCGATCCCCGCTTTGAAAGTCTGGCCAAACGTGCCTTTTGGGCCGTCTGGGATCGTCGCTCCTCCCTCGACTTGCTCGGAAATGGAATCGACGCGGAGAGTGGTGCCTGGACCAATCCTCCCCTCTCAGGCATTGGCGCAGGCATCGACTCCTTTTTTGAATACTCCCTCAAATCACACATCCTCCTCAGCAATCTCCCCAGCTTGGATTCCGAATCCGACCACTTCTTGGAGGTCTGGCATCAAGCTCACGCTGCCGTCAAACACCACATCTACCGTTCTCCCACCCAAGCAAAGCATCCCTTCTACGCCCAGGTCGATCCTGCAACCGGCGCTCTGAGGTATACCTGGATTGACAATCYCTCCGCCTACTATCCCGGTCTGCTCACCCTGGCCGGTGAGCTGGAAGAAGCCGTYGAATCGCACCTCCTCTTCTCCGCGCTGTGGACGAGATATGCCGCTCTTCCGGAAAGATGGAACACGGCGAATGGCTTCATCGATCCTCACTTTCGTCATTGGGCCGGAAGGCCCGAGTTTGTCGAGAGCACCTTCCACCTCTATCAAGCCACGAAGGATCCCTGGTTGCTCCGAGTCGGCGAAATGGCATTGCGAGACATTCGCAGGAGATGCTGGACCGAATGCGGCTGGGCGGATCTCGGAGATGTCATGAGTGGAGAGAGACGAGATCGAATGGAAAGCTTTTTCCTGGGAGAAACGGCAAAGTACTTCTACCTCCTCTTCAATCAAGACCATCCCCTCAACAAAGCAGATGGCCCCATCGTCTTCACCACCGAAGGCCATCCACTCATCATCCCACGCAAGAAGCACCCCAACAACGACAGAAAATACACAAATCAGGTACCTGAASCATCCCCTCCTCCCCACGGACCGACAACCTGCCCAGCACCACCGAAACATCTCCCCCTTACAATCAGCAACATTGCTGCCCGCTCCGATCTCTTCCACGCCGCAGCTCTCGCACAACTCCACACCGTCCCAACAAACCCTTCCCGGATATCGACCTCGGAACTCCGTCCTTCAGATCCCATTTCAGGCCGTCCAGCGATAGGATGGAGCCATGTTCGTAGTCCCACAAACTACACCTTTTACCCCTGRACCCTTCCCCGAGATCTCATCCCGGCAAATGGCTGGAGTGCCGAGATTGTCGGAGATGTCATCACGACTCTGACCTTTCCCACCACCTCGGATGGATCACCACAACTCGGACAATTCCAGAAGATTGTCGAGGGCTTGGTGGTGAATAGTCTCAGCGGCGTTCGACTCACCCTCGTGGAAGAGGAAGGACTAGATGGGAGAGGAGGCAAGATGTTGAGAATTCAAGGCGTCGCGGGAATCATGCTTGGCAAGGAGGAGATGGTTTACATCACTGCGGAAGCGTTGAGAGGCGTCTTTGGTGGCAATGGAGAGAATGATGAGAGATTTCGTRGATTGAGGGATCCGGAATGGGTGGATTTGATTGTGGATGTGGGAGGGGAGGGTGATGTGGGGGAGGAGGCGCAGGCTGGAGGTGCATTCGATGGCTTGAGGGAACAAATCGAGTCCATGTTGGCCTCTTTTCGGAAGGGTGGAAAGGGAGAGGAGGAGGAGGTGCTTGCTTCGGCTCGAGCGGCCATTTCGGCGGCTCCCATAGTCTTGGATCCTCCTGTTGCTTCTCCTTCTTCTTCTTCCCGACAAGGAAAGAGAACCGCCAAGGCCAAGAGAGAGCGATTCACAATCTCCGCCCTCCTCCCTGCTGGAATCGGCGCGGCTCCCTTTCCTGCTGCTTGGGACTCGGATATCCCTCTCGGACCCAAACTTCCCCTGTCGAAAATCTTCTACCTGGATGATGAATTATGTGAGCATGTTCTTCCACCTCACATTGCCCTCAAGTATGAAGTTCTGGTCATCAGAAGAGGCGGATGCAGTTTTCTGGATAAGCTCCAGCACATTCCGGTTCTGACCCCGAAAAGCTCCCTCCAGCTCGTCATCATTCTCAGCTCGAGGGAGCACGAGAGTGAAGGTAGAGGGTTGTCGAGACCATTATTGGATGCCCGGCAGAAGACTCCGGCGGGATTGGATCGGGTCCGAGAGGTGGCAATGGTTCTGGTGGAGGATTTTGAAGGGAGGGTTGGAGATGTACTTGGGAGAGGGAGTTTGGGGAAAGGTGGATGGGATGTTGAAGGAAATTGGTGGGAGGGAGAGGGAGAGGAAGAAGGGGGTGTGGGGGGAAGGCGGAGGTTTTGGTTTGAGACGCTGGGGGGACGAATTGGGAATTTAGGAATGTTTTAGTCGTTCAACGGTTGGGGAATGAAGATGAAGTTGAGAAGAAGAGAAAATCAGAGTTATTGAAAGCAGTGGATTGATTATGCGAAAAAGACACCAAAAGTCGAGCAAGTGACTCGCGAGCATGAATGACCGGTATATCGTCTCTTCTACATAATAGGTACCCTTGAACAGCCTTCGCTTGCTAGGTGTTAGAACGGCAGGTACCTATCTTATCTCATCTACCTTGGACCCCCCCCCCCTTATCCACC